TGGGTTTTATTACTAACATGATTTTGTTTAGTTTCTTGCAAATATATTTTATATAATCATTGAGGTGTTTTAACTTGTTGTTTTTTTGATTCCCCTCCCCCCACAGACAACGATTTGTACATATAGTGACTATTTAGGATTTTCATTGAGACAATGAGGTATTTTGGTGGATGTAGTAAGAAAGGTAAGTATGAATGTGTTATTTTGGTGATAGGAATATTGTTTTATATGATTTGGTCAGTGGTTATGGCTAGCTAAGTTTTAAAATTAAGACAAATGATGACCGTCCTGTTCCCCACCCCTTTTTTGGCCTTGTGCCACATTTACTGTAATTTTACAGGAATAAATATTGTCAGACACTGACTTTCGAGAGATACCAGCAGACCCCACACTGACTCAATAACCACTACCAACCTCTCAACAACTCAACACAATTCGCACAACTATTGTTGCGTGAAGTAACTTTGCTTTCAATTTAATAAAAAGTGACATTATCACTACAAAACAGTAATTGTATGTTCAATCAACTTTAGCCTATCAGTTAAAGGTGAACAACTCTTCATAACTTAAATCAACATTAGCAGTTGTCACACACATACACACTATCATTTGAACTTACACGGTTGACAATTTTCCTTGCAGATATCAAACTAATTTAATTCCACAAACAAACTTAAACTATCAACCTTTACTCACTAAATTTCAGCATGGACAATCTTTGTAACCTTATCTCACTTGCCACATTTAATAAGCAACTTATTATCACTTCGTGTATGTCAAATATATATATATATATATATATATATATATATATATAAATTCATGTTATTGCTGAAATCTCTAATGACGTTGTTTTCAGTAATTTCTTGAAGTTGAATTGTCTATTTATTTTTATTTCATTTATTTGTTGTGGATAAATGCATTATGATCACGCACATTCTTGACCTTCACAAAATATCACCTTCTGATACATCTTACTCAGCATAGATTTCGCAACAATATAGTTCTTAATGAGAGGTAAAGTTCGTGGATACAAACCTTTGAGAAACTTCGAAGGAGGCTATCCTATCAACAGGTGTATAATATCGGGGCTATTATATTGCAACTTTGGGAATGGGTTCTGGATCGTGCATTAATCTTCGGTGGGGCCATTCGATGCCATGATCAAAGCTACTGTTACGGCTGTATCTCCAGATAATTCAGTCCAGGTTGTTGATGCATTCATCACCTGTGTGTGTGTGTGTGTGTGTGTGTGTGTGTGTGTGTGTGTGAGACACTATCTCACTACCTAGTCTTCTCCCGAACATACTGATTTCTAAACATGACCACAAACAAATTGAACAAAAAAAAAATCAAACCAAAATCCACAAACATAAAAGTAGACCCTAGGTTCACCATCTGCTACGCCAATATGAGGGGGTCTATCTATCGAATCTGGACGGAGTGATTATCCTTTGAACGAGATCTGAATAAAGAAGGCACTCGCCATTTTGGTATTAATCTAAATACACGTGTTTTGATTCGTTCTTCATTTACGAACACAACATGGTGTCAGAAATGGGATTGTCATGAAACTAAAAGTAGATTAACGAAGCACTAAAGAACGGATACACTTAGAAGTTAGACAAATAAAATATCCGAGTCTGAACCGGAAAATAAACAAAATGAACAGCAACGTGTCGACGCCAGAGCCGTTCCTGTTTGACCAGCTCGGACAGTGGACAAAATGTATAAAAAGATTCACTCGCTACAAAACCATATCGGTTAAGAAAAGCCCGGAAGAGTTCAAGTGGACACACTTATATATACTATGGGCGATAAAGCTGAGGATATCCTAGCTACCTTTAAACTACTGTTGGAGGACTCGGAAAACTTCGACATAATCAAACGGAGATTTGACCACCACTTCACGGCCAGCGGAAACTTAATTTATGAACGAGCGTTGTTCAACAAACGCTGCCAACAAGAAGGTGAGTCCATAGACGCTTTTGTGACTGACTTACATGTATTAGCAAAAACACACTATTTTAAGGGACTTGAAGACGAGTTTATACGCGACAGGATAGTAGGGATGTAGAGACGTCAAATTATACAAGACACTTATAATGATACCAAAAGGGCGCACCAGAACGAAATTATGAAGTTCCAACAAAAGATTCCATCTGAAAAAAAAAAATCGTGCAACTAAATGAGGATGCGGCCGTTCACATGATCGACAGTCGTTACCGTAAAAAAAAAACATACAAAAAAAAAATGAAGAACCCCCCACTAAAAAAATTACGAGGACAATAACGCTAAAGACAACAGCGGTAGCCAGAAACAGAGTGCCACCGATTTGGTAACAGAGTGAACCATTCGAGACGTAGGTGTCCCGCCATCTTAGCAACATGCCACTACTGTAAAATAGCCGGCCATTACGCACAGTGCTGCAAGTCAAAAAGGTCCACGAGAATATGACGAAGACTATCCATACAGCAGCGACAACACCACCACCCTAGGGCTATTGACAGTGGCCGAGATTAAGCAGAACATATCATGGAGGATTGAACTGGCCATAAATAATAAGCCAGCGAAATTTATAATAGACACTTGTGCTGATGTCACTGCTATACCAGAATACGACTATAGAAAAATGAAGTTACCGACATTAGCAACAGAAATCCTACATGGTCGATGCCATAACTCCCCTAAAAGTGACAAATAAACTAAAGACAACCATCCAAGGAAATAAAGGACGACAAACAATACAATCCATTTATGTCACCCCTAACCTGGAAGAGCCAGTATTAGGAAGACCAGCCATCAAGGCACTAAAAAATATTGGCGATAAACTCTGCAGTGCTTAGTATCAGAAATACCAACCATAAACAAACGTTTGATCCAATGGAAGAGATGAAAGGCTTTGGATTATTTGGAGAAAACTACACCATACCACTACTTGAAGATGCTAAGCCCATTCCATCCCAACGCCACGTCGTGTACCCCTACATTAATGAAGGAAACGCAGAAAGAACTTGTCTTGTCTTGTAACGGGGTGTGTTGAGCCGGCTCCAATTGAATCAATCGCATCGCGCGTCAAGGTCATCCACCCCCGTCTATCGGCAGCAGCATCGACGGCATGATCCACCCATTCGGGATTCCAGCGTCGGACCCCGAAAACACGAGGACCGGACATCAGTTCCATATTTGCTTTGACCGTTGTGAGCCACGTCTTGAGTTGACCACATCGGCGCTTCCTCCAACCAGTGGGTTCGTTTGGCGCCACTAGTTTACGGACGAACTCATCACCAGACCGCAGCAGTACGTGGCCGAACCACCGGAGTCTCCTGTTAAGCAGAGTTTCTTCCAGGTCCAGAATGTTGCATCTGGCGCGGATGGACGAGTTGGGGATCCGGTCGGAGAGGTTCACGCGCAGAATACGGCGGAGGTAGTAGTGATCGAAGACCTCAAGCTTATGAAGATCCTCTTCGCAGTTGCCAGGTCTCACAATCATAGAGAAGAATTGTTCTGACCATGGCTTCGTAGATTGGCAACTTCGTGGATCGTCTTATTTCCTGGCGAGACCAAAGTCGTTTTTGAAGACGGACAAAGGCAGCTCTAGCCAAATTTATACGGGTGGTGATTTCGTCCTTCGCTTGACCAGTTGGCTGTAAAATTGGCGCCAAGATATTTGAAGCTTTCGACCTCTTTCACAGCTTCACCATCGAGGGTTACAGCCACTGATCAGGTAGGGGGTAGTTCGCAGAGAGAATTTTTGTCTTGGAAGCGTTCATTTTCATCACCAACATTTTGGCCATGCGACTGACCTCGTCGAGTGCATGCTGGACCTCCGCATAGGACTCGCTAAGGATTGCAACGTCGTCGGCATAATTGAGATCGGTGATGTAGTAGTCGTGGCCAACTCTGACACCCGCGAGAGCCAACCATGCTATTCTCCAGGATCCAGTCAATAATGTAGTTGAACATGATGGGGAGAGCACACATCCTTGGCGGACGCCCGTTCGAACGACGAAGGAATCGGATTCTTCCCCAGCACCTCACCTAGTTCGAGGTGAGCGTAGTAGGCTTTGATGAGGTTGAGAAGCTTGGACGGAAGCCATCATGACGCATGATGTCCCAGAGGCTTCTGTGATCCACCGAGTCGAATGCTGCGGTGAAATCAATGAATCAAACGATGGTAGATTGCTGATAAGCCCATCGCTGTTCGAAAATTCGCCTGAGGGAAAAAATTTGATCTATGCATCCTCTGCCTCTCCGGAAGCCTGCTTGGTTAGGACGGGTTCGGCGGTCCCGGATATTCTGGAAACGACGCAGTATGATAATTGTGAAAATTTTAGAGGCGGCATCGATCAAACTGGTGCCTCTATAGTTGCGACAATCGCGACGGTCGCCTTTTTTTTGTAAAGGGGAGGAGAACCGCATCGCTCCAGTCCTGAGGTAGTTGCTCAGAACGCCACACTGCATCGAGCATTGGGTGTAGGCATCTGGCCATAAGATTAGGACAGGTCTTGTAGAGTTCCGCCGGAAGACCGTCCTCGCCAGCAGCTTTGTTATTCTTTTAGTCTTTTGATGACATCACGTATCTCTTCTTCCGTTGGAGAATCGCAGTTGGCATTATACTCGGGGGCGTTTGTTAGGGTGCTAGAGGGACGTTGAGAGGGAGGGTCATGGTTCAGCAAGGTTTCGAAATGCTGCTTCCAATGGATTGTGCGGTCTGCCATCTGGGAGATAGGCGTTCAATTCGTGTTCAGCAGCATTTCCCTTAACTGCTGTTTTCGGAAATCTCCTACTGATGCCGCTTGCTCCATGACTTCAGCGACGTTTCACCAGTAAGTATTGAGATCAGCTTTCGCAGAGCGAGTAGTCTCACTAAATGGGTCGAAGAGCTTGAAGACCGGCAAAGCGATTTGATAACCGGAGCTGGAACTCGGCTCTGGTTTGCTGGCATCTGAGTCGCGAGATATCGTATTTCACAGGGCGGTTAGATGGTAGGTTGGCTCTCATGCGAAGGCGCATCTTTGAACGAACGAAGACATGGTCGGAGCCATGCTCATTGCCTGTTTCGGCTCCCCGGAATGCGCGACAGTCCAGGACACTCGAGGCCCACCGTGACTTGACGAGGATATGATCGATTTGGTTCCGAGGACACCGTCATTCGAGTACCAAGTCACCAGGTGCCGCCGAAGGTGCTGGAATCGAGTACTTGACACAGTAAGCCGGTTTGCAGCAGCAAAGTCGATCAGCCGCTCTCCGTTCGAGCAGCGGTCACCGATAGCGAATGGTCCGACAATATGTCTGTTATTGGCATCACCGGTACCAGTTCGCGCATTGAAATCACCCGCAATGACCACAAAGTCTCTAGGAGAAATGCCGTTCATAACAGTCTGGAGGCTGTCGTAAAAGACGTCCTTGGTGACTTCATCAGCATCAAGAGTTGGGGCATAAACAGCTATTATGGATATGTTGAACAGGGCTCCTCGCAGACGGACACGGGCAAGACGTGGAGAGACTGGTTTCCAGGCAAGGAGAGCCTTATTCGCTTGATATCGCTTAGGACAGTGCTACACCATGGCGCCCGTATCCATCCGTGGGTCCACTGTAATAGAGATGGTAGGCAGCGTCAGATATAGGTACCTTGATAGACGTGTGACCATGGTTTCCGAGAGGCAGGCCACATCGACCTTTGTACTGGTGGAGAGCGTGGGCAGTGAGTGCTTGAGTTTCTTCAAGTTCCAACAGGCCACATGATGGGTCGTCCAAATAGTCCAGCTCGCTGATTAGACACCCGCGGCGCTGGGACCGCGAGCGCGTCGGTTCCCGCGGACACCGTAGTAGTAGTAGTGGTATTTCGCAGATTTGGTGTGTTCATTGGAGTTTCATGAGAATTTGGAATTCACAAGTGGTCTCCAAACCCGCATGTATAGGCTTTGAGGCTCGGTTTTAAGTCACCGAACATTCGCCTTTCACACCTCCCATGTAGTTTGGGATAGGAGTTTGACTGGAAGAGGTGATCTTGTTGCGCACGCCTATTGGACTATTTTGTAGGCCAGCAGGAGCACTTCCCCGCTATCCAGCCCAGGCATACCAGACCTTTTTGATGACCAGAGCCCCGTTAGCCGTGCCGTGTCAGACCAATCTGCCATGGTGGCCCTACCAGGAACCGAGGTTCCGACGTCATAATCCTGACAGGAACACGTTGCCACCGTCCCTACCACGGTGAGGAGGGGTTGGAATTTAGGGAGGAAAGAACTCATAAGGATGGAAAAGATAGGGGTGATAAGCAGGGTAGAAGAGTCCACAGAATGGTGGTCAGCCATGGTAGTGGTGCCAAAAGACAATGGCAAGGTCAGAATATGCGTTGACCTGACAAAACAAAAATTGGATGGGGCCACAATTATGTCCAAACTAGACGCTAATAGTGGATAATGGCTAATCCTTTTATCACGTGAATCCCGCCAATTAACGTTTGGCAGATTCTAATTTAACCGCCTCCCGTTTGGGATCACATCGGTCAGTGAAGTATACCAGAAACAGATGTCAGTCATATTAGAAAACCAAGAAGGGGTAATATGTATGCTAGATGACATACTGGTATACGGAGAAATAAAAAAACGGTTAAAAGCCACATTGAAGATAATAAAAGCAGCGGGGATAACCCTAAGACTTCCAAAATGTGATATATCCGAAACCTCGTTAAAATTCTTAGGACATTCACTCTGCATTGATCGCCTAAGGCCCGACCAAGACAGGGTTTCAGGAGTTTACAACTTCCCATCACCAAACAACATAACAAAACTCGCAGGGGAAGTTCATACCAAACCCAGCAGAGATGACAAAACCATTACGGGACTTAATGAGCCAGAAAATATTTTTGTTTGGCAAACTGAATAGAATTCAATTCTATAAAAGAAATTTTATATTCAGCGCCAGTCTTGTCACTATATAGCCGAAGAAAAAAGAAACGTGTTATCCAATGATACCTCATCCTATGGCATTGGAGCAGTGCTTTTACAGCAGCAGGGAGACAAGAAACTGCATCCAGTAGTCTATGAATCAAGAACCATGTCGGAAACTGAAACCCGATATGCTGAGATCGAGAATGAAGCTCTTGCTATAACCTGGGGATATGAATAGGGTTAGAATTTACAATCGAGACGGATTATAAACCACTCATACCCCTTCTAGGCAACAAAGACATAAACGAATTACCAGATTGAATACATAGAATTCGCATCAGGCAGATGAGGTTCTGGTTCAAAAATCCAACATGTTTCCGGCCAAAACCTTTACACAGCCGATGACCTATCAAGAGCCCTCGCCTAGCAAAATGCCGACCAAATAGGAAAAGAACTAGAGGAAAGTTCAACAATGTTCGTCCAAGCCATCATGAACTCTCTACCTGCAAACCGATAGACGGTTGACAAAATTAAGAAAGCAACTACCAATAATGACACAAGTACACACATTAGAACTACGTCAAAAGGTATGTCCTACTAAAAACAGTTCCAATGCGCATCAAGCCATATTGGGACCATCGATGAGAAATTACCTGGGAAGAAGGCTTACTAATATATGAGATAGATCACCTCAAAACCTGTAATAGAAAACCTGAAACAAATATTCGCCAGACATTGAATACCAGTGACCCTGAGAACAGATCCTGGAAGCCAATACTTGATGATTTCGCAAGAATATGTGGCTTTCAACACATCACAAATTTTCTCAAAGCAGCGGAGCAGCAGTAAAAATTATAAAGAACATACTGAGGGAAGCAAGGAACCCATATATGTCCCTGCTAGCCCATGTAACTACCCCAATAAACTGTGGATATCCCCCGCAGCGAACTGCTAATGGGGTGAAGATTAAGAAGCAATGTCTCAATTGATCCGAAGCTACTGTCGTCCAAGTGGCCTGACTTCAAACTCATTCGGAATAGGGATGAACACAAGAAGGCTCCACGACAGCACACATACAACCAGAAACAGAGAGCAAAAGAAATAAGACCACTTGAATGTGTGTTGATTAGAAGCCCAAACACCTCTCGCCAGGAAGTGACAATAGTTGGAAACGCCCTCACTTCAAGATCCTACATCGTGGAAACAGAAGACAGCAGGGGATACATCCGACGCAACCGCAGACACATTATTCAACAACCCCCTCTGAGCAAGGAAATAAAAGCAGAAAATCCAGAAAGCATCCAGCCCTCAATGGATGAAACTGAAGAAATGACTTGATGAGTCAACCAGTCCCTCGAGCCACGGAACAACCACGTCTGGACGAGTATCGAGGCCACCCACAAAACTCGACATTTAAAATGAACAACAGTCATAACATAAGAAGGGGAGATATTATGGTATCTATCTATCTATCTATCTATCTATCTATCTATCTATCTATCTATCTATCGTAATCTCTTCATTATCTATCTATCTATCTATCTATCTATCTATCTATCTATCTATCTAATCTGGATGAAGTGATTCCCCTTTGAACGGGATCTGAATAAAGAAGGCACTCGCCATTTTGATAATCTAAACACACGTGTTTTGATTTGTTCTTCATTTACAAACACAACATAAATATTAATAAAAGAACAGACCTCAGGATTTCCTGTATATGTTTCCGCGTGACATTTGCCCATAGTACCACTTTCATTTTCACTCTATATCGTCCTTAGGATATCGAAATTGTATTGTCCTCACTGAATATGCCTCAGCGTGTTTTTCCTATTTGTGATGACGTCAATATTCACCACAAAGGATGGTTAATCAACTCAAGCAAAACTGATGAAGAAAAAGCAGATCCTCACCTGTGTTCCTGATGCAAGAAGACATCAGGCGAACATCTTTGATTTCTTCTTCCCATTCTGCACTGAAAAACGCTTCGTTGATGTTTTACCCTCACCCACACCGTGCAATTCAAATCATTCATTTGTCAGTGTCAAATTTGCTATCAAACCATCTTCATATATACTGCCTCCCAAACTGCTTTCCTCATCTCGGAATGGATCCTTTCTGGAAGGGAGAGTTTTATACCTCCCTCCCCACCAAAAGAAAATCCAGCAAAAACCGAACAGGTAGAGTAGTAAGACACTGCATTTAGAACTTATGGCAAAGAGAGAAAAGGTAAATTGTAGCACAAGCATAAGCATTTCAGATCAAAGTCAAAAGCAAACAATTTTGATCTCGAGAGTTCTGGAAGATCTCTAACGAAATTCTGAACAGAGGAAAAAGTATCTTAGTTTCGTCAGATCTTTGCCTTTAATTCAATGTTAGATAACAAAGACTACCGACTTTCCGACTTCTTTCGTCTCACTGGACACAATCTCAGTAATATTTTTATTACAGCCCGACAGGTTTCAATACTTAAGTCTTGACCCTAAGAAGGCTACCAGTCCAGCTAAAATCCTATTGGTTATCCTCAAGAATGTTAACCTTGAATTATACCCGATCTTAGCGAAATTATTTAACCGTTCCTTGAAGGAGAAAATCCTTCCCAAGTCTGTGTCGAGCGTATACCCTGTTCAAGAATGCGGGTGAGCACTCACCTCCCTCACAGTATAGACCAATCAGCCTCTTCAGTGTCATTAGCAAACTTTTTGAAGCTATTGTCAACAAGAAGGTTGTTGATCATCTCAATAGAGACAGCATCTTGAGCGACAAACAGTAAGGATTTTGATAAATGCTCACTTTTTGTGAATATCTAAACGGATGATACAACGGTGTATGGGTGTACCTCCAAAACTCTCCATTGACCAGAGCTGATCTCTCCATTGATCTAACTTTAACAGGTCAGTGGGGAAAAACTGTTTGATCACATTCAATGCTTCCAAAAACTAGTGACGTATCATCATCCCCCGGCTGACCCAAAATTTTCACCGATCGCGATAAATGAATGTCCCCTCAGAGAGGGCTCGTGCCTTAAGGGCCTATTGAGACTTAAACTCAACCCAGATCTCAAGTGGATTTCATACAATGGCCGATTCCCCGTATAGCTCCAGTAAGTACTTCACTCTTGCTATCCTCTACAAGAACCATATCAAACCGAAAATGAACTATTGCTGCCATATATGGGCAGGTGCTGTCCAGTTTTCCCTTTCCACTCTCGATGGAGATAAAAAGCGTCTTCGTATCCTTGTGGTTGACGAATTATTTTTCACCTTGCAATACCTTTGCTACAGACGAAACCCTGCTCCATCGAAATTTCTCAGGAAAAAATTCAGACCAACTACATTCCTTGGTTACTTTTCTATGTGTGTGTGTGTGTGTGTGTGTGTGTGTGTGTGTGTGTGTGTGTGTGTGTGTGCGTGTGTGTGTGTGTGTGTGCGTGCGCGCATGCTTATGTATGTATGTAAATGTCTGAGATTAGTTTGTGATAGTTTTTCGTTATTTTACCGAGCGATTTTCCTTTCCAAATCGATTAGTTTGATTTATAAAAGAGATGTGAATCAGGCAAATAAGTTCCCAGCGGTTTGGTTTCTTTTAAGCAGGTGACATTTTTTGCTATCAGACGGTCATCCGGGAGGCGAAAAGAAGTAGTTCCTTTCCATCTAATCCAAGGTGTAGGGTTGTAAACATTTCCCTGTTTGTTGTGATGCTGCTCATTGTGGTATCAGTTTCATAAATACAAGGTAACCAAAAAAAGTTCTGTCCGTTTTTTGATTAGTCATTGAATAAAGTTGAAATATATACGAAATGCTTGTAGCAATTGTTTTCAAATTCGGACAGCCGGAAGTAGGAACATCAGACGTTATAAAAAACACGCGCACCGTGTCTGGCCATCAGTTATAAGCCGGACAGCTGTGAGAAGGATGGAAGTGTCTTGAGATCTCGTTCGGGGCTGTTTCCTTTACGACTTCAAAGTGGGCTTATCAGCAGCTGCATCAAGTCGACGCATATGTCAAGCGTTTGGGGATAGTGCTGTGGATGAACGTACTGCAAGGTGTTGGTTTCGAAAATTTAAGTCGGGAGATTTGTCTCTCCGTGATGAGCCTCGCAGTGGACGACCACAGGTCTTGAATGACGGAGTCCTGAAGGCGGCCATTGAAGAAGACAGTTCTCTAACGTGTGGTGAACTTGCAAGACAGTTCAACGTTTCCGATGAAACAGTTAGACTTCACCTGCACCGCCTAGGTAAGACGTACAAACTGAGCAAATGGGTTCCGCAAACGCTGTTGGAGGTCCACAAGGGACAACGAGTGGCAGCCTGCGTATCGCTGCTTTCTCGCCACCGTACCGCATCCTTATTCAATCTAGTACTTACCAGTGATGAAAAGTGGGTTCTGTACGAAACTCCCAAGCGTTCCAGACATTGGTTG